TTGCACATCCAAGAAATCCATCTGGAAAAATTACAAGACAATTATCAAATGAAAAACAAATACTTAATGATTTGAAAACTAAATTTTCAAATTATTTGAATATTCATTTTAGTTTTAATCATTTTGAAGAATTAACTATTGAAGAACAATTAAATATTATTATTCAAACAGATGTATTTATTGGTATGCATGGCGCTGGTTTAACTCATGTTCTATTTATGAAACCGAATAGTAGTCTTGTTGAATTGGTTACATCGTCATGGCAAACACAAAAGCATTTTGAATTGATGGCGTCAATAAATAATGTTAATTATCAACGTTGTTTAATTATCGATGGATCATTAGCAACAGCACAAAGGATATTTGATTGTATAAAAGAGAAAATTTCTCAAATATGTCCTTTAATGAGTGGTTCAGCTCATTCGCAATTAATTACTACAACCTTCTCAACAGTCGTAGGAAACTTTTCTAATAGTAATATAATAATTTGATTGTTACGTTGTTTCTATGAAAGAAATTTAATATGAAACAAAATACGAAAATTTGTTATATATAATTGAAACACAAAATCGGAAATGTAGCTGCTTTTTAAAGATTTTTAGTAGATTGGTTGGATATGTTCAGATTGTGGAACTTTGTTTCTCGGCCTATGTTATTTGAATGTTTTTTTTCAAATCAATGAAAAATTCGAATAAATGACGAAGGTCTTTTTTCTGATCATCTTCAGTAGATTTGAAGGGCAAACTTATGTATGACTTAACATGAAGCTTAAATTCTCTTTGAGACTTACGTTTTTTTTTTTATCAGTTTCTATGCATTTTGTATTTACGGCAAAAATTTAAACAAGTAAAACTCCTGATATTTACTAGAATTATTGTAGAAATAGAGCAAAGATATTCAATAGTTTTCTTTCACATATCCATCGATTTCGGAAAATAAGAGCACAAAAATATTTAATAACTGAATTAATATCAAGAGCTAGATGTGAATAAAAAATGAAACATTTTATGTGTCTGCATTAGATATGTGTGGGACCAGACTCCGAGACTCAATACTATCGTGAACTCTGTAACTTTTCAAGTGAAGGTTTTAGTACATCATAAATCAATTTATTATTGTCATGTTAATGTTCCGTAATAGAGAAAAAACACGTTATGATAAATAAGATAACATTAATAGAAATAAAATCTGTAAATATTAAATCTTAATAAATAAATAAATCACAAATATATACAGGTCTATAGAAAATAAAATAAACAGTTTCATCATTATGAACACTAAAATATGTCTACGTCATCGTCTGATTGCATTTGTGCATCCAATTTATCGAACATCACTTCGTCATGTTTAGACAATTATCTTTTTCTTTGTTTGTGAATATGATTGTGATAAATCATCCTTTGAGATTAGGCATTTACTTGAAATAAATGATCGAGAAGTTGTCTCTTTTGATTTGATTCATAAAGTCATTTTAAATTAGCTAAATTTTTGTTTAAAACAATATCGTTTTATCTATTTTTTTCAATTGCTAATCATGTTATTTTTCCAGTAACTGTTGCATCTGAGTAGATACGTGCGAGACAAAACAAAAACTCAATTCCACACATGTCTAGTCTGTATATATTGAAGCAATGATCAATTGAAACAATATTTTTGAGAGTTGAAAATCAAATTTATTATACAAGAAATTAAAATCTTTTATAGAAAATATATAAATTTTAGTTATTTCTAGTTCGTCTGATGTTTAAATATAGTGAATTTCTAAGCTTCAAAAACGAAATGAATTTGTCTAATTTAGAACTAAAAGTGGCCACCGTAATAGTGTTCAATTTATTTTTCGGGTAACTAATTTATTTTAGAAATATGAATTAACGAAATAATCGTTAACATCAGCTATAAAATTAAACTACGTAGTAAAAACTAGTAGCTATGACTATTCACAAGAACACATTATGTTATGAAATACAAACACGAATTGTAGTAATTATGGCTTTTAAAGAATAGTTCTCAGTTTGTATTCGAAGTCGCAAATACTTCTCGAGATTTATGTTATTTGTGTGTAGTAATTCTTGTATGCAGTTTTACTATAAGTAGTTTGTTACTAAAGACGGAAGCTTTCTCATGAAATAAAGCATATATATGTGATTTTCTTTTTCGGTAAAGGAACTCTACATTTTCATCAATGTGTTATATATGTAATGTTTTTTTTTGCTATTTCAAAACTTTTTATGTACAAACTACAGTTCTAATGTGTTGTCCTTTGAATTAATTACAAAAAAGATTCGTAAGCGTTTTCATGCGTAACGATTCAACGTGTGCACGCTTATCTCTCCATATTTATCGATCCTTGTCTATAGCAGTTTTTGATGCATGTCCAGGTATGATATGTTGTATAAATGCAAATGTATACACATGAAATTTAGGTATATATTCATTGTCTTTTTATTGTTGATTTCGTGCTTGATTCGACAATCTATGGTAGAAATAATTGCCACCTATACATTGGTTTTGACTATTCGTTGTGAATACTATAAACTTCAATACTTTTATTCGTTTTTTCTGTAGCTACTCTTCATTGAAGGTCATGACCATTGTTATCGATATCTTTTTTCTTTCTATCTCGTTTAGTCAGTGAGATAAAATTAAGTCGAAATGATTTTGATGATTATTGCAATTATTTGTGCAAGAACACAAGAACAAGCGAGCTCGAAAAAAAAAGGAGAAAATAAACTATGGAGTGTATACCTCTCTTTTTCGTGTTTAAGTAAAATGTATGAGACAAGATACAATCACAAAAAGAAAGAAAAAAGAGCAAAGAACGGAAAAAAAAGAAGAGTATTGACGATATTTACATTAACATAAACATATTGGTGAAAACATGTGCATATAAACAAAAAAGATTCGTATCATTAAAAGCGCTTTTCAATCGTTATCATTTGTGCTTAAAGTGAGTACAAAGTAAAGTACAACTGATAGCAATGGGTAGCAACGAAGATTAAGTTATCATACTAACAGATAGGCAGTTTCTTAGAACGCACTAACTACAATAGTCTATGAAGTTACCATTATCAACCATTACTATCGATAATAAACTGAATAATGAATATGGTTAGATATATAGTTTAGAAAACTAAAATCGAATTGGCCTGCTTTTATTTTGCACCGCTGCAAATGCCATTGGAAGATAGTTGCTTACTTTTTTAACTGTACATATTCAAAGAGGTTTGATAGAAGTGATTGAGAGACAAACATGAATGGTTTAAAGAAAAAAGAGGGTTCATCTTAAGCATATTTTTTGTCAATATACCAATCGTCGATGATTTCATTCATTGTCTGTAGCGAGCAAATTTTTAGTCATTCGTACTTTTTTCGTTAATTCAATGTACACAATGTTAGATTCGCATACTTTTCAAATGAATTTCAGAAAACAATTTTACGACAAAAAATAGTCTTTTTTTCTAAAGACAAGGTGTTTCTTAAAATCGGTTTGACATAAAGAATAATTTCTTTTATTATTCAAACTGTTCTACTGAGTTTCTGGAGACATGACACTTGAGCTTCCGAGACTTGAGCCTTCATCGATTAATCACGAAAGAAACAAAATCAATATTTGATTATTTTGTTCAACTCAAAAGTAATACACGCAAACATGCTATTACTTCCTATAGTATTGATGACTCGCTAAGATATTTCTCCATAGTTAAGTCAATCATCTTTACGAAAACGAATAAGTTTTTCGAATTATATTTCTTGTGTTTATCTATTCTCGATTACTGTTCTATCTTATTCTATTATTACTATTATACAATATGAATTGTAAGACCCTCAAAAAACAAGTATCAACTTTCTACTTGACGGCTCTCGTTACCGTCGTCCTAATAAATCTCAAATCAACTGGCATTGTTGTAAAATTAATTGTGCAGATCGTGTGTGCTTTGATGGTATAAATTACATTTAAGTCACAGATCATATTCATGCACAAAAACCCCGAAGAAACACTATAAATAGAATTTAAATGAAAGATTACGGATAGTGCAACAACATTGCATGATCGATCTCGACAAATTTATTCCAAAATACTATTTTCTAATTAGTATTCATTAATCTCTTGTTTAATTCAGGCTTAATTATCGGAAGGCTCAACTGTTGTCGTACCTGAATTTTTCATGCTTTTTAATAGAAAATTTCCTCACTTCTTCTAATACCATCTAACTTGAATGATAAATCCACATTTTCTCTTTTATTGAAAAAAAACAATGTGAAAACAGCGTTGATTTCAAATAATTCAAAATTATCATCTTCTAAATCTATTCTTACTCCCACAATAGATCTACAATAGTGAACAATATTTTTTGGACGATTTTGTCTTGATTATAACTATCTTATTAAATTAGCTTTTGAGACGTGACTTACGTCAAAATTTTAGGCATCGGCTACATTACATCCAGAGAAAATGTCACCTCTAAATAATGAGCGATAGTGGAATTGAACATATAACAGTGAGCAGAAGTCACTTTCTGCTGGACGATTTTTTTTGGACGATACTAACTTGAGCTATTTTTTCTCACAAATGTTTGAAAGGAACCGAATTCATACTAATGGAAAGAGGAGAACACGAGCTACATTTTGATCACTGAAACTTTCTAAAAGCAAAATATTTATGAAATGAAATGTTTATTTTATAACAGACAACTGACAATATTCATACGAACTCTTTATGATTTTTATATAATCAGTAATTTTTCTTTCCAAATATCATATTTGAAAGAGCGTCACTTGCTGCACTAGATAGTAGATTATATAAATTTTCATGAAAAATGGTTTGGGGTTTTGAGCGGCAATGGCAGAATGCCTACCAAGCAGAATTCAGAATTTTGTGGACTTACATATCTTTTTAACGATTTGATTATAATATTCTTTTCTGGTCTGTTTGATTTCTGCTTAGAATTTTGTAGAATTCTGTAGAATAATGTGCCACGAAAGACAGCCTATTTATTTCTTGTTTGTTTGAATTCTGCTTAGAATTTCGTAGAATTCTGTATTATCAGAGATGACGTCTTTCGTTCCAGTCTGTTTAAATTCTGTTGAGAATTCTGTAGAACTCTGTGCTATGAAAAACAATGTTCTTTTCTCACTAGGAGATGTAGAATTCTAGTATTCATACTGCAACTTTATATTCTGTTACTCGTATCAGAATTGTGTTTTATACTCTCCTTATGTTTTTAAATTCTTCATTAGAATTTTTCCTCTCTCTACGAGCTATACCATTCTAGTATGTCTATTGAAAGATTATATTGTCTTAGTGGTACCACAGCTCTGCTTTAAATTCTTCTGATATTATTAAATGCTTCATAAGAGTTTTTCTTTTCTACTTGAGATATAATATTCTAGTATACCTATTGAGAAGTTTATTTCTCGGGAATATATTCACTCCTTGTATGACTATTGAAAGTTTGAATGCTGCTACTTTTAGCAAAATTCTGTTTAAATT